TTCATTTTGAGATGGAGTAGCTGCAGAGTCTTGCTTACCAGTCTGATTTGCATAGCTCTGAGTTACATAAAAATCGGACTGGTGGTAAAGCTATCATTAAAGAGAAACAAAACAAAAAACTGAACAAAGGACACATTCTGTGCAGTTTAGACTGTTTCAGGGCTCTTTGTCATGGTAAGAAATATGCCTGCCCCTTCCCCACACCTAAGAGGAATAGCAAGAAAGTGACAAAAGGAGACTCCCTGGGGGGATATGGGAGTAAAACATAGAGTAACCTCAAACTAGACACAGGAAGAATGAGAAAGGGGTTGGCAAAGACACAGGGTGATGCAGCCCAATGTCCTGTATTCACAGCGTACAGATATGTGATTAGGTTACAATCACTTTTCCCTCTTCCCCAGTTCATTGCAACAGGAATTTGTCAGGCCCAGGAATGGAATGACATCTTGATGACGTTCAGCTTTCTCAGAGGCTTAGGAAGGGTGGCAACTCATCTAAGGCCAGAATTGCATTTCTGTGTTTACAAATTAAAATGCTTCTGTTAAACCAGAAAGAAAGGTCTTCTGAAGGCAGTGGAAATGACTCTAGTTAGTTGTTAATAGTACATGAGTTTGGGCATGAAGGAAAACAGGTTTCAAATCTCTGCAACTTATATATTTATAGGAAGATATTTAAACTCCAAGTTTAAATCCTACATTTTAAAAAATGAGAATAGATATTCCCCTATCTACCTATTCTCATTTTCCATCATTGTTTTCTGTCTGGTTCCAGCTTTGACCTGCTTCCTTAGTATGTGTGTGTGTGTGTGTGTGTGTGTGTGTGTGTGTGTGTGTATGCACATGGTGGTGCACACCTGTAGCCTCAGCTCTCAGGAGACTGAGACAACAGGATCACTACAAGTTCCAGGCCAACATGTGCTGTATAGTGAACTCAATATGTATATATTCCTGTTTCAAAACCTCATGCTCCTCTGTTCTTTAAAGTTATATCTAGAGCCAGGGATTTAGCTCAGCAGCACAAGTGCCTGCCTGGAAAGTGTGAGGTTGTGAGTTCGAGTCCCAGTACCAACAAAATAAATAGATAAAGTTGTACTTAAATTTAGCTGGGCATAATGGGATGTATCTATAATCATAGCACTGTAGGAGGCTAAAGCAGAGGAAATGCAAATTCAAGCCTAGGCAAAGCAGTCTTGGGAATCAGTGAGGCCCTGTTTTAAAATAAAAAAATAAAAAAGGTCTGGGAATGTAATTCAGTACAAAGCCCCTGAGTTAAATCACCATACATGCCAAAAAATTTTTTTAAGTTTAACTAGAATTATATATAAATCCAATACCAACAATGTACATAAATGTAAAGCCATAAAAATAATATGCAATAGAGAATTTTTGATCTTCTGAAGGTACTCTTTATTTTTTATAACATTGATCCCGTGTTCATGCAGGGTAGGTAAACGGGACAGGTACTGTGTTATTATTTTCTACTTTCTTCATAAGAGGTTAAAATGAGTTACCAAAAATCACTGAGTGATTTCAGATGAAGATTCATGAATTCTTGTTTTCAAATCTGCCAGGATCTCCACTTGCTATGAAAAGTCAGCCTACAGAAGATGATCCCAAGTGTTAATATTATTTTATAACACTACTTCTCATCACACAGTTAATATATTTTCCGAACTTATACTAGCCCTGTAGTTACTCAGACAACATAGGGAGAAAGTGTAAATTCCATGCTCAACAACCAAAGCAGTCCTTGTCACCAAAACTATCATATGTTAGTTCTCTTGTCAGTATTTGCAGCCAAGCCTTAACTTCTAAGGATCTACTTGTTACAAGTGAGTTTATGTGCCTTGAAGCATATGGCCTTGATATATGATCCCAGAGCTAAAGAGCAAGGTATTTCAAGCTGGCCACAATTTTATTGACTCTCACAGACTTGCTTTGTAGTCTTTCCAATAAACTAGATGAGAAGTTTCTGATGCTCCAAGCTATCCAGTCCTCAGGACTCCATTTCATGATTCAGAGTCCAACAAAACAACTCAAGAGTGCTTTTGTGTGACACTGTGACCACAGTGATAAATAATTGCTTAGTAATTCTCTTTGAGGCAAAAAATTCTAAACATGGAGGAACCATTTCCCCTTAATGGGAGCCAGAAATCCTGTGAGTGCTTGAAATGGCATTCACAAGTCTGAATGGTAAACAGATAAAAACAGGAGCGCACCAGTTGCACAAATGACTTGCTTGTCACAAACTTGTCATTGCAGGAATCTAACATTTCTTTCACAGAGCCCGATGGAAAGTATGGAACAAACAAGCCCTGCTGACGTTTTGGCTCTGTTAAGCCTTCCTCCAAGCTAAAGCATCTGCAGCATCTTCCTGTTCTAGACCCTTTATCTACTGAAGTTAGCTGATACTGTAACATGTCAAAGAAATGTTTGACTATTGCATTAACAAGTTGATGACAAGCAAGTTATTCCTACAGTTGAAATACTGCTGTTTTTAGTAGGCTGCTATTTTGACCTTCTTTTTATTGTAAAAAGGAACCCTAACAAAAGAGTACTGGGAAAATATTGTTGACTCTGGAGATTCACAAAGGCCACCTGTTGCAGTGGAGTGGAGTGGACATACCTGGCAGTTTCATCAGATGATTCATAGGATTTCCTACCAAAACATAAATGTTTTTACTACATTGGATGGTCCCAAGAATTGCTCTTGCAGGAGTAAAATAACCTGAACAGAAATTCATTTTCTTCTGTACCACCTATGACACCCCTCCCTCATTGCATGTTCATAATTGTATGTGCTTGCTTTACCTAATGTCAGTAACTGGGAAACTTGAATGAAAATTATATATAGCAACTACCCACATAGTTTTGCCAGTTCTCCCTATTGATAGCCTCTCCTAGCCTCCTCCTCCTTCAGCATCATGTCTAGAACTATCTAAACTTCATGAGAGCCATGCTCTTGTTTCATAAAGAGCAATGTATCTCCCTTAAGCCTCTTCGCAGAAACCTCAGGCAGCCCTCCCCAAGGTACCTTCAGCTCATCTCCAAATTCAGCTACCAGCAGGGAGTGCTCAAACTCTGTGCAACTGCTGACTTTTGTCTGTCTGAGGAGCCCTCCTCCCCTTGGGAACCCACCCTTGGTGATCTCTGAGTGTGCATTCCATTGGGTCACAGTCTTATCAACATAGAGAACCTCACTGGAACCTGTAACCAGAACCTTGCCTGTGTGCCCCATCCTCCAAGTTTCTGCTTTTGTTAGTGCCATCGGATATCAGCACTTAGAACAATGAAGTATTTGCCCTAAGACTTTGTCCTTTTCATAAAACTGAGCTTCTGTTATTCACCAAGGTGTCAGGTACCTTGTATGCTTTTTAGACCCTTCAGGTCTGGTAAAGGTACACTGATAGTATCTGGTCTGGTTTAAATATTAACATGAAAACTTTCATTTTCTGACTTATTTTCTGGCTGGTGCCCCAGCTTTCATTTTTTAAAAATCGTGTGTAAAAATGATTATCATTGTTTAGCCATAAGAACCAAATTTCTTGCCAAAGCAGTGGTAGGCCCTAACTTTTTTCAGACTTGGCAACTTGTCCACAGTAGTGTCTCCCATATGAAATGGTTTACTTTACCCCTAGTATCTCATGTTGCAATCTATCCCTCTTCTTTGTGGAAAAACTACCTCAGAGGACAGGTGGGAAAGGAATGAGAAGAAGGCCCTGTGTTCCACAAAGTTAAGAATATTGTCCCTGAAAAAGTGAGGATAGTTTGAGGCAACAGTTCAAAGTTTCTGCAAAAGAAAATATGTGAATGAACAATTTGAATTTTAAGTGGAGTTTTACTGACTTTTTTTTTCTTCTTTAAATTCTTAATAGGATTTCCATGATGATTTTGTTTCCTTTTTTATTAGAATTTAAATGGCAAAGAAATTACTGCTATTTTTGATTCAGAAAAATATAAAAAATTTTATGGGAACTCTTAAAATACAAATTAGAAAATAGATGAAATGCCCAAAAGAAAGACACACAGGAAAAAAGAAAGAAAAAGAAAGTAAAGATTCTGTCTTCCTATTCAGAGGGATATCTGAATAGTGTGTTTTAAATGTTATTTGTCTGTTTATTTTAAGAAAGTAATCAAAGGTGCAAGAAAAGAAAAACCTTATTCTGGAATCATTTCATTAGCTTCATCATAGAACATTAGGGTGAGAAGGGGTTTTGATCAGCCTGACTTTACATTACTCACTCTCATTTGAAAGGTGAGGATACTGAGATTTAAAAATGTTGCATAAAATGTACCAAGGTAAACAAAAAGATCGTGCCAAAGCAAGTCCTAAAACAAAAGTCTGACTTTCAATTCAGGCGATACCCTTCGGACATTGCATTACATTTTTTAAGGCTTTCTTTTAAACGAAAACAGTCTCACTTTAAAAATTTGTACCAATGTGCTTAAATCTAATAGGATATTTTCTTTTGTAGTTACTCAGACTTTGTATAGCTAAGCTAACTATGGAATGTGCATTTTAAGATTGAAGATTTTTTTTTTTAAGCTGTATTTACCAGAGTAGTGTAAGAACCTTTATTATTTCAATGAAGTTTTTCCTCTTTGAGAATTCTAACCTTGCATTTAAAAACATATTTTTAAATGTGTCTGTTCATTTAATAAGTACTTGTTTAAGTATTTCATATTCTAGCATTCTAGGAGGCAAAAAAATCCTTTATCAGATTAAGAGAAATCTTTTTTTTTTATTCCAACTTTTAGCCATGTTTATTTTATCCTCGTAGTTGTTGGTTAGGACAAAACATTAAGTTAGAATATCAATGTTTTTATGTGTATGGGTTCTTTTAGTTCAGCACAAGCAGAAAAATTAAATATGAATTTACCTTTTACAGCTATGATAATTATATGCCCTATTTTTTATTTATGCAAAACTTAATTTCTTTTTGTTTCATTTCTGTTTTCGCGTGTTCCAAACATCTGTACTGTGGCTGGTGGCGAGAGTAGCAGTGGCTGGCACTTTTCCTCTACATTGTGAGAAAAAGAAAATTAGCTGGAATAAAACCTTGCTTTCCATATGGTGGACTTCAAAAGCAGCATTGAAAAGGTATCTTCTCTTTTTTTTTTTTCTGAAACCAGAGATGAAATCCGTGTACAAATAGCAATATTGATGCCAAATCACCTGTTGATTCTCATCAGAAGAGTCATTGGCAATGCATCTCTCATTTCATCCTAAATAAATAACCCTAAATAAATAATCTTTGTACACTGGTAACATCTACCTATATCAACACATGTGCCTTTGGTCACTCACTTAAGAATGACTAAGATTCCATATATAATTGAGAAATGAACTAGAAGTGTTGCTTTTGGTTGAACAAAATGTTTTTTTAAGTGTGTTTGGCTGTGAGGTAGTTATTAATTTCTGTTATGTTGGAATTGATTCTTAGAAAAAATGGAGAGAAAATGGCACTACTGTTTTCATTTATCTTACCTCTAATTAGAAAAAATTGAGATCTATGTCTTATATAAATGTTTCAATATAAAGTACTTCAAACACATAAAAGTAAAAAGAATGATATAGAATCCAAAATACAGTAAATATAAGAATCCAGAACACAAGTAAAACAAACCTTAATAATTTTGAAATACTTTTTCTAAGTCTGTTTCTATTATTATTATCTTATAAACTACTTACAATAGAAAAATTAAATGCATAATGTGATAGGCTAAACTCTACAACCATGGGAAACAGCCACGCGAAACATTTATAGGACCTGTGAAGGGTCCCTTGTATCTTCTTGCACTTAATATTCTCTAAAGCTTTGTCAAAGGTTAATAACAATCATAAGTGCCTTTAAGTAAGTCATATACTATACCTTAAATTAATTCTCCTGAATATATCACTAAAAATTATTTATTGATTTTCTCATTGTTAGACATAATTTCCAATATTTTCAATAACCAACAAGTTAATACTTATTTCCAGGAGTACATACAGGAGGTAGAATTGCTAAGCATCAAAAAATACGAATTTTTAAACTTTACTAGACAAAAGCTTCTCTTCAAAGTAACAATGTTTATTCTTTGTAATCTGAGGGTTTTTCCATTTAAACATTTAACATTTGAAATGGTCAGACTTTCAAATTTTTTTCAATTTAATAAGGGTTAAATAATATCTCAGTTAATTTTTTATTTGTAAGTCATTGAAGTCCCTTTTTTATGTTACCTGTTTGTATCATTAGCCTGTTTTCTATTGAATTTTGTTTTGACATTGTTATTTGGAGAGTTTTGTTTTGTTGTAGAGTTAGTTGTTTTTGTTTTTATTTTAATACTCAGGATTCGCATACCTTTACGCTATAAGGAATACAAATATATTTTCCCAATTTGTAGTTTCTTTTTTAACTTTGTCTTTAGTAACATTTTAAAAAATTCTGATTTTAATGTAGTGAAGCTTATCAATATTTTCTTTCATGATTAGTGCTTTTATGTTATTTAAGAAACCTTTCTATATGCCCTATATTTTCTCTTATTTTAAAGATTTGCCTTCTGCGCTTAGATCACAAACCCATTTTATTCTTCTTAACATGGATAACCCAATTATCCTAGCACTATTTAAAAAATTAGTCATCCTTTACTGACTGATTTGCAATATCGTCATTTGCCTACATTAAATTTGTTTTTAGAATTTTTATTCTATCCAGTATATTGTTCTATCTTTATACTGATATCACAGTGCCTTATAATAACATAATAATATTTTTATTTGGCAAAGTAAATCTCTCTATTTTGTTCCTTTTTAAAATTTCTTGGCTCTTCTTGGCATTTTACTATTCAGGATAAAACTTAGGGATAGTTAAGTTTGTCAAAAGTTCTGCTGAATTTTATATAAAATTACATTAACACTGAAGGATAAGCTGGGGAGGAGGGGACACTTTTACATATCTTCTGCCCATTAACTCCTACCTATACTCTTTTAGATCTTTCTTTATATTCTTTAAAGATATAATTTTCCTCATGAAAATTTTGTGCCTATAGTTTTAATTTCTTCATATTAACTTTGTTGTGTTTTAAATACAGCAACAGTCTTTCATTTTAGTTTATTGGTTATTATTGCTGTGTATTCATTCCCTAACCTTGCTGAATTCTCTTATTATTTCTAATAGCTAACCTTCTAATTCTCTTGTCTACATGGACATCTATATCATCATAAGTAATGACAAATTTTCTCTTAAATGCCAATTCTTAAATGTTCTATTTCTTCTTCCTATCCTTTTGTATTGTTAACCCTCCATATAGTATTAAATAGAGTCAATGATATTAGGAATAACTATTCTTTTTCATAGTTTTGTAGAAATAATTTGAAAATGTGATGTTTGCTTGGTTTTTTGGGGGTGGGGTTGGGGTTGTTCTGTTTGGTTTTTTGAGTTAGGTATTTCAAAATGGCCTTGAACACAGCAGATTGGAATTCTCCAGGGCCCTACTAACCTGGAATTCATAGCAATTCTTCTGCCTTAGACTCTAGAATGCTGGGATTATGGTATACACCACCATACTCAGTTTGTTTGGGATTTGGACAGTCAAGATTACTATTCTAAGATTACTATTCTAATTCCCTTCATCCATTTATAGCTTGCTAGATATTTTTAATCAGCAATACTAGTTATCTATTGTATTTTCTGTATCAATAATGTCAATAAAATTTCTAATTAATGTTTGTTTTATACCTAGTAATATATTTCCCCGTATTGAGCATTTTTTAACATTCCAGAAAAAAAAATTCGCTTCATCTTCACGCATTTTTAAATCCTCTGTTAAGTAAGATTTCCTGACATCTTATTGTAGAATGTTTGCATGGGGAATTAGTCTTTAGTTTTTATTTTTTAAAACAGTTATTGCAGAGTCTTAGTGTCATTGTGATATTAGACTCAGAAAATAAATGTAATAATATTATTTGAAATTTAAAATTATAATTTGGGGCAGTGCTTGCAAACCTATGGCACATGTATTATTTGTTTTTCTTTTAAAACAAAAGATATTAATGAATGAAATTTTAATGGTTTTTTGCTTGTTTATTTCCCCAAACTAAATCCTCAGTATTCAGGTTGGCACTTTTCTATAAGTGAGTGGGTTTTGTTTTGCAGTTTGGGCACTCAGTCTCTAAAAGTTTTGTCATCACTGCTACAGAGATTACTGAGGGCTGTAGGCATACAATTTTCAATCTTAAAATCTTTAATTTTTACCTCCCTGTTATTTGCAATATTCTTTATCTGAATTATTTCTTTAATTAGTTACCAGACATTTTTCTATTTCATTTACTTTTTTCAAAAGCTGGCTTTTGATTCTACTTATTTACACTTCTTTGTTCTTTGAATTTTATTACTACTCTGCATTTTATTTCTATTTTATAAAAGTCTTTTGCCATTTTTCTTTGACTAGATGCTTGAAGTATGACTTATTTAATTTCAAAAGCTTGCTTTATTTTAAGAAATTAATTCTAAATTCCAAATATTCTCCAGGTTTCTCATTATCTGCATACTATACTTTTGTATTTAGTTTTGTTAAATTTTAAATATTTTGTAATAGCCCTTTTCATTTATTTTTAAGGCTGGAGTTATCTAAAAGTATACTTTTTACTTTCTAAGCATGTTTACTGTGTTTTGATTATGATTCTGAATTTAAATATATTGTAATGAAAGAATGTGGTTTTAATTGAAAAAACATCTTTTGAAATGCCTTTATGTGATTATTCAATACTTAGGGGTTTTTTTGTGGGTATGAAATCTATTGGTAGGTTCTCTCTTTCTTCAGTACACCTTCTAAAGTGTTTATATGTATATTTCACTACCTATTTTTCTAGCTAGAAAATAAAATCAACTTTTTAATATTTCTCACACTTGCCTTAATGTAAGAAAAGTGCCTAATGTGTTTCATCTATTATTAATCTTGTTAGTGTAATTGTTGTAGCCTTACTTATATTTGTTGTTCATCATATAAAAATGTGCTTATCATTGATTTATAAGCCAATGTTTAATTATTTTTACTTATGAATCTTAGATATAATTGTGCCCACAGGTATTATTGGGCCTTATGGTCTCCTTTTGGTTCATTTTTCTTATTGTTAAATCGACTTTATAAGCAAACTTTTACTTGGGTAGTACACTCTTTTTGTATGTTTAAAATGATGTTATTTTTCTTTTATGTTAAATTATAATTTATCTGAGTATTTGGCTTAGCATATCAAAGATATTGCTCAGTTATATCTGTCACTATCATTCTTCCAACTATTCTTAAGAAAAATCTGCTAGCAAGTTTATCTTTTTTTAACAGGTAATCTGGCAGCTTTTAAGACTTTTATCATCCTGTATTTTCTCATAAATATGATTAACTGTGGATTTATTTATAATTATCAGTCATGAATTCTGTGTATACTATTTAATCTCAAGACTCCAATTCTAGAAAATTCTGTTATTGTCTTTTCCCTGATCTTGTCATTGCCTACATATTTATCTCCTGGAATTATTTTTTGCTTGTTTATTGATTTTTTTTAGATAAAATCTTACTGTGTAGTCCAGACTTCTCTCTATGTGTATATATATAGATAGATAGACAGACAGACAGATAGATAGATAGATATAGCTATAGATATAGATATATAATTTAACATATCTTGACTATTCCTTTACTAAAAATTTTTGTCTCTGTCTGTCTGTCTGTCTCTGCCCCCCCCCAAACAAAGACTTGTTCTGTAGTTTAGGACTGCCGGCCTTGACCTCATTATTCAGCCAATCTGGCTTCAAATTCAAAATGATCCTCCTGCCTCCACCTCCTAACTGCTTGGATTAAAACATGCACCAACATGCCCTGCTGAAATTTCTATTTTGCTTTCTTTACTTTTTTTTCTGAATGTTTTCCTCAAAATTACTTTCCTGCTCACTGTCTCCTGGAAATTGACCTCTTAGGTTATCCCATGTGCTGCACTTTTATTGTCGTGAACACATTTTGAAATTTCGAGATTTCTGACTGACTTTGTGCAATTTCTTGTTCTGTTATAGTATATAGTTTTCTTTGAGCATCTCAAACAGTCTCATGTTGAGCTCACCACGA